CATGCCTCCTCTCACCTGGAGGTCGGGGAAGAAGGGTATATTCCTGGCCCACTCGACGGCCGAGAAGAGGAGGCGGGCAGCGAGCTCGCAGATGTTGTCGATGCCCATGATGTTGTTGGGCTGCATGCACTGGCCGTAGCGGGCCGTGGGGTAAGGCTCGGCCCGCAGCAGCAGCGAGATGTACGAGGACAGGTACGAGTGGCCGTTGAGGCCCGCGGCCGCGGCCGCCGCCGCCGCGTCACCGTTGGCCAGCGAGAACTGGCCCAGCTGCCCCGGCGCCTGCGTCGGGGGCACCCGGCCTCTCTGCACCGCTGCAACACCAGAAGACGAAAGTCGCCGTTAAGCATTCTTATCGCAAACTGTTCATCCGACATTACTAAGCGAAAAACTTGTGCTTTGTGAAAATGGGAAAATTACAGTACACACTTCAGGGTATTTGCATCGCATTACATATTTGGTTTCGGTCCTTTATATCGCATGTCTTCTATATTGCATAGAAATAAAAATTATGGCAGTGTGAAAAGTAGTCCGCTGTATAACTGCTTTCGTGGCGTACAAATCATTATTTACGTTTATTGAATTTTGTCCCGCGAGCGGCGCCGGCCGGTCAAGGCTGACCGGCTCAACAGAAAACACACTCCTACAACTCTTCATTTCGCTGGAAAGCCTGAAGTCAATTCCCCGCGCTAACGAGAGTCAGGCTGTGCGTGTGGCCGTCGGGATTTATCTGCGAGACGGGGGCGGCGCCCAGTCCAAAACGGTCCAACTATTTTCAACTCATCATCTTAAACGTGAAGAAAACATTATACTAATACACAATATTTGCTCGTAAAATAATAAATTCAATACTTTGCGTTGATCTTTTCAGGTTACTAATCTAGGAAATGGCCTGTCCTCGGCTGCCAATGTTCTAATTTTAAATTACAAAATTACAAAATAAATTACAAAATTCCTCGGTCCAACAAGAAGTTCACTTAGGCACATCTGTATCTTATTCGGACGAAATCAGTCTTTTTGACATTTCGAGTGAAATTTTACAACCGAACCCTCGCCTTTTCACACACGGCGTACATACATGTTTTCTACCACTTTATTGCGGCAGGGTACCGCGGGGTCAATCTGCGCGCGGGCAGGCACACCGCGCGGCCCCGGCCGGCCGCGGCCCCTGGAGGGAGGGGGCGGCGGCGGTGTGATCGCATGATAAAAGTTCCCGATAGGCGTGTGTCCGGTTCGTACGTAGGAGAGGGACCGGTATGGGTGCGTGCGTGGCTGGTTTGGTTGGGCCCGGCCTGGTTGGTCTACCCGGGCCGCCCAGCAGCCTTGCTGGTTGCAGCGGGTCCTGCATGTCAATAGCGCGCGCGCGCGCGTGTTTTTCCCTTCCTGTAAGAAGACGACGGCTGCTGCTGCGGCCCGACCCGGCGAATCTCCTCCGAAAATGATTTATCAGGTTTGGACAGCACGGGCGCGGCGGTCTCCTCCTCCTCCTATCGCTGCGCGTCGCGCTGACTTATTCCCGGTCGGAGAGCCCGGCGGGCGCGCCGGTGCCGGGCCCGAGACGCAGGTTTCAAACGCTGCTCACAACGTGATCACCAGGCGCCGCGTAGAACGACGGGTACTATGCACTACCGGTGGTGGTGGGCGACGACTGTTTGTATACAGGGCCGTTCGTTCGCAGAAGCGAGCGTCGTTACAAGGCGTTCGATTAACTCGGTGTCGGGAGCCCGCGGCCGCCCCAGGACGCCGATGACTAATGACGGAGGAGGGGGGCATGTTATATATATTGCATTTCTATTGCCAACTTGTCGGCGTCGCGCGCGCGAGCGCCAAGGAAGGGGCCTATAGGTCTGCTGCTCAGGTATCACGGGACGAAAATGAGAAGAGCAGCAGCAGCAGCATCGTGAAAAATTGTGATTGACAAGGCTGGCTCTAAAAATCGAACGGCTCGAGGAAGTCGTCAGGTGATTGAAACATAAGGACGATCTGGAGCAGCCCAGCGTGGCCGCCCGAGGCAGGCGCCCCGACCTTGCCCGACCCGTGCGCAGCTCGTCCCCCTCTATTCATCTCTGTCGATTGGCGCAGAATTAAGACCTAGCGATCCATCAACTCCAACCGTGACGTCACCATTGCACAACACACACCTCAACGACAAATACATTTTTATTTTTTCTCTGCACGGCAGGGAAGAGAATTAGTGTCTGTCAGTGTCAAGGGAACCTCTTCCTCTTTTGCCATCTTCCTCACCACACACCACTTTATTTTTAGTTTTTTTCATTTTTTTTCGGGCAAAGCAAGTTTCCGAAGTAGGACATCTTCCCCGCCACCGCTTCCAGCTGCACCGCCGCCGCGCACCTCGCCGCGGCGCCTTGCCGCCGTCACGTAAGCCGTAATCACATCCATCCAGTTCTGCACAAATAGGCGCGACTCGGTCCCTTTGGGACGTGCCTGGGGCCTGCCTGGTGGAAACCGCCCCGCTGTTTGTTTAGCCGGCCCGGTCTATTTCGGGAGGCGCGGGAGGAGAACGATGATATGATCGCTCTGATCAGCATCCGCCCGCTGGATTTCTCATACCCGGAGTGGCCGCCGCCACCGCCGCCGCCGCCCCCACACCACACACACACACACGTGAGCGAGGTTCTAGAGAGAAACCGAGGCCGGCTGGGAGGAGCAGCGCTGTATCTGATCAGGAGTGAGCTGGGTGCACTATGCTGCTCAACGAGGCCCCGACCTTGGGCGCGGGGCGTGGCGGGGCGGGGCGGGCGTGGCAGCCCCGGCGCTGTGGAAAACGTTGATGAGGTTTGACCGTCAGCTGGACTCGGCCCCGCCTCCTCACAGCAGCAACAGCAGCAACAGCAGCGAGCAAGCAAGCAGCCGGGCCAAAGCGATGCACAGACTTAACGGCCCTTTTATCAAATGTTACGGCCGCCGTCACTTGCGCCCTTCGGGAGGCGAGGCGGAGGCGCAGACGGTGTTTCTGTTTCTTTTTTACGCGCAGAGTCCATCCTCCTCCTCCTGCTGCTCCTCTGCGGCGGCGGCGGGAGCAGCGCTCCAACAGGTGTCGCACCCGCCTCTGGAAGCGCGCGCCCCTTTCCTGTGCGTCCTGGAAGGAGCCCCGCCCGCGACGCGGCCGCCCCCCCCGGAGCCACGCCGGGTCGCTGCTGCAGCTGATTGACTTGCTAATGAAGCAGGCCATTAGTAAGCACCTCAAACCGAGTGACCGCGGCGGCGGCGGCGTGGCGCGGCGCTCCGATCGAGAGGGGCGGGGTGACTGTATGGGCCTTATGGTTCACACGGGATCCCTCGCAAGGCTATGAAGGGGTAGGCCGAGCTAGTGCTGTCAAAACACACTGCCAGCGACGACGGGCAGCATGCAACACATTACTATCTCTTACTAAATGAGCAGGAGAGGTCAGGACGGCTTGTGGTCAGCAGCCCCCCACATCCTCCCCCCCCCCCTTCTCTCTCTCTCTCTGCTCCTCTGGGTGGGTGACTCACCGCCGGCGGGCGGCGGCTACTCACAGTCCCTTCACGTCTAGTCTGCAGCAGCTGCCAGTTACCCAGTTACCTTCTCTCTGGCCTAGGTACGTATAAGACCGCGGCCCACATAAGAAACGGGCGCGATCGGGACCCAAGGATCAGTGATTCCTGCAAGGCTGGCCATCCCC